CTTCGTGAACAATTGGAAAAGCGCAGGGGATACCTCCCAAAGGACATTTTTATAATAGTCCTTATTGCCTCTCTTGGAGCAGAATGGCGGCAGTGTCGATCCCTCCTTCGTCTTCAACCAAATCTTTCGGAAGCAGAGATCGGCTCCATCCTTCAGGCCGAGCAACAAGATCTTGACCTGCAATCAGCACGTAACAAGAAAGGAGCAGTCAACATCAGTTTTTATACAAGGCCTACGAAACGCGTCATCAAATATTTCTGCCACTACTGCAAAAAGGATGGACACAATATAAAATTTTGCAACAAGCTTCAATCTGATAGGAAACGAGGGGGGCAGCAGCAGTCGCAGCAGTTCAAGCAACCCGTGAAGCAGAGTCCACCGACAACAACTCCCGCCACATCAGGGAAACAAGTATTCAGCTGCGTTACAACAGTTCAAGCAACAGAATCTGATTTCGACGATGACGACGACGAAAACTTCAACGAGCAACCTGAAAATATGGTTTTACCCCAAGTATATGCTAACCTTGCTCGGGTAATTGCAGGACCGAACACTTGGTATCTTGACAGTTGTTGTGGACAACACATGTGTTCTGCAGAGACACTCTTCATTACTCATCAGCGTCCGCTTCGTCGTCCCGTACCTGTCACAATCGTAAATGGACAAACAATAATGGCAAAGTCAATTAGGAGCGTCATGCTCGATTCAGTCGACACTGGATTTTCATTACACATTACCAATGTTCTGATCATTGAAGGACTTGGCTTTAATCTTCTCTCAACGGCTCAACTCCTGCGACATAAGATACGGACACAAGGAAACTGTGAGACAATGGATCAAGAACTTTAACATAATGATTCAAATACTTACATCGGGAGAGCCGCCACTCAGTATGGGGTCTCCGTTCTTCAATTTGAGTCGCAAGGGACTACTGGATCTTCTGAAAGAGTGTTATCTCTTGGTCCTTGGCAACATCCCGAAGAAACAGATTTCCAAAATGTTGACATTGACTTCCGAGCAACAGCAGTTCCAACAGGTTCTCGTACAGCAGCCGCTGTTATCACGGCTCTTGATTCCTGGCCAATAAACACAGTAGAGGAAGACACGTCAGCATGGAGGAATTATTACGACACTTTACAACAACTTGAAGATAAACCTACAGCACTTTGGGGACCCAGCAGCAGCAGTGAAGCCGAGGCAGCAGAGCAGCAGAGTAGCAATGAAGCGCAAACAGGGATTCTCGTAGGTCAACCCGCAGCAGACTCCCAAGAAACAGAAACCGAGGAAGGGGAATAAGTTCTTCAACCGGACGAAATACTCGAAGTGGAAATTACAACGATAAAGTTACCTCTTAATCGCTTCGTTCCTGGCGAACTCGACGAATCACCAGCGATATCTCTTTTCATCGTTTCTTCTTTTTATACTAACGCCGATTTCTATCTGCGATCAACAGGACACAAAGCAACAGAAGATATATGGCATCAAAGGTTAGGACATCCTTCACCGGGGATTCTTAATCATACAATCCGAGCTTCAGTTCTTGACAATAGTTTACTTTTACTTGATGGAACGAAGATGAAGCCATCTTCGCGCCCAGCAGTCTGCACCACGCGTACCACTGCAAAACTTCCACACGAACCTTTTCCGAGTCACTTTCCAGGTTCAACTCGATACAAATTGATGCAGAAAGCCTACAGCGATATTCTAAACTTACCAGAAGCTGGACTGAAGGGGGAGCTTTATATGATCTCGTTTATCGAAGCTTCTACTCGATATGTCTGGAGTGTCAACATACCAGCTCGACACATGGTTCACTCAATTTTCGTGGCGTAGCTCGCGGTGGCTGAAAGAGAATCGGAGAAGAAGCTGCAAGAATTTCAGAGTGACGGCGCAGGGGAGTATACGAGCACAACTTTCACAGATTACCTGCAAACCCTCGGCATCAAACGCAGGTTGTCCCTGCCACATCAACACCAACAAATGGGGGTAGCAGAAAGGACGAAAAGGACTCTGCAAGAGAACCATGTGTCGAGCTGGTATGTTGACACTCCAGACGTATCGAGTAGAAGCTTCGATAAACGAGATCATATAAAGCAGGCAGCTTTGCCACCTCAGTTTTGGATTTACGCTTTGGACCACGCCGTCCTTCTGTACAACTTGCTGTTGACAACTTCTCTTCCGGAATTTTCTTCGCCACACCTGCAGTGGACAATAACAGTGGGCAACACAAAACTTTTCAGAGTTTTCGGGTGCATCGTTCAATATCGTCCTCCGACAGCAGCACTCGGAAATTTTTCGAAACAGGCTAAGTGGGGAATACACCTTGGCATCGAGAAGCACTTTTATGCGTGGAAAATCATGGATCTTCGCACGAGTCAAATCGTAGCAGCACGTGATTGTCTTTTCTACGAACGTCTAACATTACCTGTTTTTCGTGCTCACCAAGCAGCAGCTGAAAATCCTGCCAGGCAGTTCGAGGGCCCGCGTGCTTTTGCCACCGACGACGCCGAAGCTGATGTGCAGGACGAGTCCGTGGCTGAATCCTCCGAAGCTGCCACAGACATCCCCGTGCCAACCATGTCAGCTGGAACTGCGGATTTTATTCCACTCGTTGACGCCGATCCTGAAGATGTTTGCGATTTTGAACTCGATTACGAACGTGACCGCCAACAGCAGCCCATGACCGTTGTCTCCGAAGCAGCGATACGTGTCACACCTGAAGAAGTTGGGGGGGAACAGGGATCAGAACACAACTTCTCCGGTGTCGATTCCAATCGTCCGCGTTTTACAGAAACTGGTTTACAAGTTTTGGGATTTGCAGTCGTAGTACAGTCAAACAGCAGTAACATTTTGGAGCCGAAAACAGTTCGTCAAGCTTTGACAAGTCCTCACAGGGAGAAATGGCGCAAAGCCATGGACCGCGAGTTAGCGGCTCTGGAAAAGCGTGGTACCTGGGATTTAATCCCGCTGACAGCAACAAAGGGGAGTAAAGTACTTACCGGGAAATGGGTTTTCCGGGTGAAGACAAATGCATATGGTTCCTTCGAGAAGTTTAAAGCACGATGGGTCGTCCGCGTCTTCGAGAAGACATTCGGGCTTGATTACGAACTCACCTTTGCCCCAGTTGGCCGACACACTTGTGTCAGAATCGTTCTCTGCATCGCGGCCTACCGGAATTTCAGACTTCGTCAAATCGACGTCGCCAATGCTTTTCTATATGCACCTGTCGATGCACTAATTCTGGTCGAGTATCCACATTCTTACGAGAATAATCCTCCCAGCGTGTGCCGTCTCAAAAAATCGCTCTACGGCATCAAACAGGCACCACGACTCTGGCAGCAGTATCTATATCGTCAACTATTAACCGCCGGATTTCGTCAGCTTCCATACGACCAAGGAATGTACCTGCTCACCGACGGTACTGACTATATTCTACTCGTCGCCTACGTCGACGACTTGCTTTATATCAGTACTACGGATTCTCTCGCTACTATTTTCGAACAGAAACTTCAACAGAACTTACAGATTACTATCGCCCCTACAGTCACACAGTTTCTCGGACTGAACATTCACCAAACAGCAACAGCTATTCATCTAACCGCTTCAAAGTATGCAGCTACGCTAGCCGCACACTTTAATCTCACGGCTTCAACTGTCACTACTCCTTACCGATCTCTACCGACTAATCATCAACCGGACACTACTCCACTCGACAGCGCGGAACTACAAATTTATCAACAGCAACTGAGTTGTCTTCTATTTGCAGCTGTAACGTGTCGTCCAGATGTCGCCTACGTCGTTAGCCAGCTTGCGCAATTTCTGCATCGACCTGAGGGGGAGAATCGGCTAGATCTTCTTCGCGCTCTGCAATATTTCATTTGGACACCTGAAGTCGGACTTACCTATCAAGCTGCTACTACGAAAACCTTACATCTTAACGGGTACGTCGATGCTGATCATGCAGCAGATACTACAAATTGACGATCATGAACCGGGTTCATCTATCGCCTCGAGCCTATTGGAACTATCTCGTGGAATTCTACTAAGCAAGAGCTAGTAGCTCTTTCATCCGCTGAAGCCGAGTTTATAGCTGCCTGCACAGCTACTCGCGAAGGTCTCTATATGCAAGAGCTACTGGAGGAGGCGAAATTGACGACAAGTACACAGTTCACCATGCAATGCGATAATCAAAGTGCAATCAGAATCGCGCATCAACCTGGTTTCGCCAACAGAACGAAACATATTTCGCTACGGTACCTTTTCGTCAAAGATGAAGTCGAGAAGGGGAGAATGCGATTGGTCTACTATTCGACCAATGAAATGGCTTCAGACTTTCTCACCAAGAAGCTGACACGTCAGAAGTTTCAATACTGCAACGAGCTCTGCGGAATTATCAAGAAGTGACACTATCGGACTTCCAGAAATGAAGGGGAGTGTTGTGGTATAATCGTACTTAAGCATTTCTGTAAGTAATCTCGATAGATATTGATGAGTTACACTGTAGATAGCATCCGTAGAATGACGTCGGCAAATACCGTATTCCCCCGTATACAGCACCCCGCAAAATTGAACGCCCATGGGTGGCTTGAGCGGACATGGGTGCTTTATTAAACTGGATATACATAACACCCGTCTTTTTTGCCTGCAAATATTTGAACACCCCCCCGAAACCTTTAACCTTGCTTTTGAGTAGCATAGACGAGCGCTACCCTCTTTTCCAACCACTGCTGCTGTGCCATCACCTGAGCGTGAGAGCGAGTGGGAAACTTATCAAGGAACCTTTACAGCGCGGTTCAAGGGGTGCGACACAGAAAATTTCGAGACCCATTTTGACTGCCCGAACTAGTGTGTCCCTTCCCTTGAATCCTCAAACCTAAATGTTAGCTAGTTGACTTTTGGGTCGCGCTCGCCTTCCCGCCAAGAAAATCGTGCCATGCCTTCGTACGCGATGTCGAAGGGGAAAACAAAATACAGCAGAGTACGACAGTGCACTTTCTTTAGGAAAAACAATATCACATACGCATGTTCCACAACACCCAGGCGTTATACAAAATTAGCCTCTAATTACACCCTCCTCAAAATTTAGAGGCATTTTGGTTACCACCCTAGGGTGCTTTATACGGGGGAATACGGTAGCGCTCGTTTGGATGGTTACGTCAGCAAGCCGTTTCAATTACGCGAACAGTCGCGCTCTTTTCAGTAGCAGTTAGAGCGCATAGCGCAAATAGTTTTGAACAGGTACATTACCGAATAGGTACTTATGGCAGATATAAAAGTAGCCTGTACAACTTCAAATATTAACTTGTTCTTCAGTAAATTCTGGTCAACACTTTACAAGTTCTAAGACTTCCGCTGTCTTACTAGTCTACCATTCCAGCAAAGATCCTTTGGTTAAGTATTAAAACCGTATCGCAAGGCTGTAACACTGACTCTGGTGTTACAATTTGTTAATACTGGCTGTTACTGGAGGTACTTCCAGTATTATTTTCTACTTCAAGTACTTGTGTCTGCATATTCTATACTTGGTCTCCTGTGTCAACTTATACATATTATCTATGTAGAAGTTATAGGCTAGACTGAGGTATGCTTCTAGTGAGTACAACCAACTAGTATTTGTTCTAGGTTTCCACCTCTAGTCATTATTCGTTCTCACTTTGACATGGTATCACGCGTAGGTTAGCATCCCCCACCTACCGCTTCCGCCCGTACCCTAGCTAGGCCACGTCGCGCCTCCTAGCCCCGTCGCGCCTCCTAGCCACGTCGCCCACCCCCCCCCCTCCTGGGCCACGTCGCGCCACTCTAGCCCCGTCGCGCCACCCTAGCCCCGTCGCGCCCCTCCTGGGCCCCGTCGCGCCTCCTAGCCCCGTCGCGCCCCTCCTGGGCCCCGTCGCGCCACCCTAGCCCCGTCGCGCCACCCTAGCGCCGTCGCGCCCTGCCTGGCCTCGTCGCGCCCGCTCGGCCGCGTCGCGCCCTGCCTGGCTCCGTCGCGCCCGTCTGGCCCCGTCGCGCCCTGCCTGGCCCCGTCGCGCCCTGCCTGGCCCCGTCGCGCCCTGCCTGGCCCCGACCCGCCCGCTCGGCCCCGTCGCGCCCTGCCTGGCTCCGTCGCGCCCGCCTGGCCCCGTCGCGCCCTGCCTAGCCCCGTCGCGCCCTGCCTGGCCCCGTCGCGCCCACTCGGCCCCGTCGCGCCCTGCCTGGCTCCGTCGCGCCCGCCTGGCCCCGTCGCGCCCTGCCTGGCCCCGTCGCGCCCTGCCTGGCCCCGTCGCGCCCGCTCGGGCCCGTCGCGCCCTGCCTGGCTCCGTCGCGCCCGCCTGGCCCCGTCGCGCCCTGCCTAGCCCCGTCGCGCCCTGCCTGGCCCCGTCGCGCCTGCCTGGCCCCGCCGCGCCTCCCTGGCCCTGCCGCGCCTGCCTGGCCCCGTCGCGCCCTGCCTGGCTCCGTCGCGCCCGCCTGGCCCCGTCGCGCCCTGCCTAGCCCCGTCGCGCCTGCCTGGCCCCGTCGCGCCCTGCCTGGCCTCGTCGCGCCTGCCTGGCCCCGTCGCGCCTGCCTGGCCCCGCCGCACCTGCCTCGCACCCGCCGCGCCTCCCTGGCCCCGCCGCGCCTGCCTGGCCCCGCCGCGCCTCCCTGGCCCCGCCGCGCCTACCTGGCCCCGTCGCGCCTGCCTGGCCCTGCCGCGCCTGCCTGGCCCCGCCGCGCCTGCCTGGCCCCGCCAGCACCTGCCTGGCCCCACCGCACCTGCCTGGCCCCTTCGCCCCGGCTCGTCCTGCCGTGCCGCCTCGGGCTCCGTCTCCTCTGCTCGCCCGTGCTGAGGCGCTTCGCGGCCGCCGTGCTGGAGGGGGCTGTCGCTGTGTTCCTCATCGCTGTGTTCCTGTGGAGCTGTGCCGCTGACCCTGCACGATGGCGGACTTCGTGCTCCGACTGGACGCGGAGGGCCATGCGGTTGACTTCGCCGCCTGGCTCTCCGATCTCCGCCGCCACCTTACAGGTCAGCGCCAGGATGGCCACTCTTTGGTTGTCCATGTCGACGGCTTGCTCCCCCGTCCCCCCGCACCTGCTCCCCTCCCTGCTGATCCCTCCTCTGATGACCGTGAGACCTTCTCTACTGCTGCGCTTGCCCGTGCGGTCTGGGACTCCCGCGATGCAGTCGCTCAGGTTGCCATTAGTCACGCCCTCCCTGTCTCTGAGCGCTCGCGTTTTGCTACTATTGAGACGGCCAAAGCTTACTTAGACGCTGTTATTGCCCGCTATTCCACACCCGCGTCTGCTTCTGCTGGTCGCCTGCTCTTCCCTATGCTTTTCCCAGACCTTGCAGCTTTCTCTACCGTCGCAGACTTTGCCACTCACCTGCGTGCCCTAGAGACCCGCTATCGCACTGCCAGCACTGCCGCCCAGCTCACTGCGCTCCCCCCCCCTTTCTGCATGACGCTCTACTTTATCGCCATGCGCCTGCCAGACCGCCTCGCTAGTGCTCGCGATCACTTTCTTAGCCAGCACCCGGGTGACCTCACTCTCACTGCCTTTGTCGACACCCTCACCGAGATCGAGACTCGCCAGCGCACTATCGCTCAGTCGAGCGGTGCGCCGGCAGTTTCTATCTTTCACGGTTGTGCCCCCTCCCAGTGTACGTTCACTGACGTTTCGGCTGCGGTCGCCTCGGCGGCCCCTCTCACCGAGACGGCTGGTGCGGTCCACCCGCAGCAGCGCTCGCGCCGCGGTGGCCGTGGTCGCCAGGGGGGTAGGGGTGGTGGTGGCAGTAGTGGTGGTGACGGTAGTCCGCCTGCGGGGACTACCACTGGTGGGCAGGAGCAGCAGCCCCAGCCGCAGCAGGAGCAGCCCCAGCCGCAGCCGCCGCCCCAGCAGCAGTCGCCGCAGCAGTGGGCCCGTCTCCCGCCTGGTTGGCCCGGCACCTCCGGAGGTAGTGGCCGTGGTGGCGGCCCGCGCAGCTTGGCGTCTACCGGCGGCTCCGGTGCTGTCACCTGCCAGTACCAGCTTCAGACCGGGCCTCTTCGCGGCACTCTGTGCCGCCGCCCGCACCCGACCGCCCGCTGTTTCCGCCGCCTCGACGATCTCTTTCGTCGTCGCTTTGGCCCGGCCCCGGACCTCCCCGACTGGCACAGCCTGCTCCGCCAGGGCGTGCCGATCTTTGAGTTAGACATGGATCGGCTAGGTGCTGCTTTGCATGCTTTGTATTCTGACGCTTCTAGTTTTGCTGGATCTTATTACCCTGTGTACTCTAGTTTAGGTGTTGCACCACTGTGTAGCTTAGCCTCCCCTGCTGCGTCAGGCGTAGGACTGCCTAGGTTGCCTAGTCTAGTCGCTGCACCGGCTCCGTCCCCGGCCTCCGCCACTGCGTCGCTGTCCTTCACTCTCGACTCTGGTGCTTCTGCCTGCTTCTTCCGCGACCGTTCCACGCTCACGCCGCTTGCTGCACCTGCTGTTGTCTCTCTCGCTGACCCCTCTGCGGGTTCGGTCGTCGCGCGCAGTTCTACGTCCCTTCCCTGTCCGGCAGTTCCCTCGGGCTCCCTTACTGGCCTCCACGTTCCCTCGTTCTCGAGGAACCTGGTTGGTGTCGGCTGTCTCCAGGACCTCGGCGTCACCACCACGTTCCCCGGGCACGAGCGGTTCGCTGTCTGTTCTGAGGCTGTCTCAGGTTCCCCCCTTGCGACGTTCCCCCGGGACCCGGTGTCCGGTCTGTTTACCCTAGACACCGCTTCCCCCCCGGTTGGTGCGTCCTCCCACGTCGCTGCAGCTTGCTCGTGTCGGTCCCTCACTCACCCCTCCCTTCTCTGGCACCACCGCTTAGGTCACCCTGCTCTCCCGCGTCTGCGTCACATGTCCCAGCATGGTCTTGTCTTAGGTCTCCCCGCGTCGCTCCCTGCCCTTCCTCCCTCGACTGCGCCACCGTGCACGCCTTGCGTCGAGGGTCGGCTTCGCCGTGCTCCTCACTCCTCCTCGCTGCGTCCTGCTACTGCCCCCCTTCAGACCCTGCACTTGGACGTTTGGGGCCCTGCCCCCGTCCCCGGACCGCGCGGTGAGCGCTACTTCCTTGTGCTCGTCGACGACTACACGCGCTACACCACGGTGTTTCCCCTGGAGCGGAAGGTCGACGTGCCCGACGTTCTTCTCCCGTGGGTTGTGGCTGCGCGTCTCCACCGCGGTCTCCCCGTGTTGTGTCTCCACTCCGACCGTGGCGGCGAGTTCGCCTCTGGTCGGCTTGGACAGTTCTGTCGTGCGGAGGGCATCACCCAGTCGTACACGTTGCCGGACTCGCCACAGCAGAATGGGGTTGCTGAGCGCCGCATCGGCTTGGTCATGGAGGTCGCCCGTACCTCCATGATCCATGCCGATGCCCCCCATTTTCTGTGGCCGTTCGCTGTTCGCTACGCTGCTCACCAGCTTAACCTGTGGCCACGCTCCCAGCGGCCGCAGGTTTCGCCGACCCTCCTTTGGACCGGGTCTCCCGGTGACGCGTCTGCGTTCCACGTCTGGGGCTGCCTTGCTCACGTTCGTGCCTCTGGCACGGACAAGCTCACTGCCCGCACTGTCCCCTGTGTCTTCCTCGGTTTCCCCCTGGACTCGTCTGACTGGCTTTTCTACCACCCGCCGTCTCACCGCTTCCTGCACTCTCGTGACGTCACCTTTGACGAGTCCGTCTCCTTCTACCGCCGCTTCCCTCACCGAGGTCTCCCAGTTGCCCCCCCCCTGTTCCTTGCTCCCTCTCCCCCGGTAGCCCCTGCCCCTCTCCCGCCTCGTCCTGCCCCGTCTGGTGTCTCCCACGTCACTCCCCTCCCGTCGGTTGTCCCCCTTGAGGAGTCTGCTGACTCTGGTGGTACCCCCGGTCCGTCCTTGCTGCGTCCCCCTTCCCCGGTGCCTCCGCCCCCACTGTCGCAGTCGCCGACCCCGCTGCCGCCGCCGTCACCGTCGCTGCCGCAGCCGTCGCCGCCGCCGCCGCTGTCGCTGCCGCAGCCGTCGCCGCTGTCGCCGCCGCCGCAGCCGTTGCCGCCACTGCCGCTGCCGCTCTTGGCCCCTGAGGGCGCTGGTGTGGAGGAGGGTGTTCGTCCTGCGGCTTCTGGGGGTGCCGCTGGTGTTGGAGGGGGTTCTCGCTCTGGGGGTGTTGGTTCTGGGGGTGCTGCTGTTGAGTGTTCTGCCGACGGTCGTTCTGCCTTTGCTGGTCCGAGAGTTCCGGCCCAGCCGTCGTCGCCGCCGCAGCAGCCGTCGCCGCCGGTTTCCGCTCTCTGCCTGCTCGGCCTTCCCTCCCCGGACCGCGCGCCGGTGTCTCCCCCACCGCCTGCTGACCTTCCTGTCTACGGTCCTGTGTTCCCGCCGCCGGACTCGTCTCCGGCCCGTCTTCCTCCTCGTTCCCCTCCTGTGTCTCCTCCGCTGTCCCCTGACCCTACCCCTCCGTCTCACGTTTGGGCTCGCCGTCCCTCCCGTGCTCGTCCCGTCTCTCCTGTCCTGCCCACCCACCCTATGTTGCTCCGTTCCCGCTCGTCTCGTCCTCCCCTCCTCCCGTCCCCTCCTCCCTCGTCCCTTGCTGTTGCACCTCCTCCGTTCTCTGACTACCTCCGTGCTGCTCGTCCCCTTGTCCCTCGGGTCCTTGCCTCTCTTGTTACCGACCCTGCTGTTCCTGTCTCGCGCCTTGACGCGCTTGTCGCTGCTGTCGCTGACTTCGCCTCTACCCGCCGCCTTGACTACGCTACCGCTCTGGTCTCTGACCCTGCCCGTCCTCTGTCCGTCGGGGGTGCTCCTGCCCTTGGCAGTGACGTCCTAGTGGACAGGCAGTACGAGCTGGCTTTCCTTTCCGAGGCTGCTCCCCATCTCTGCTCCATGCTGCTAGTCCCTGAGGGTGACCCAGACGCCTTCGACATCCCGACCCCTCGCACCTACGCTGAGGCCACCTCGGGACCTTGGGCCTCTCAGTGGATAGCTGCCATGGAGCAGGAGATGGCATCTAGGAGGTCCACCGGCACTTACGTCGACGCAGTTCCCCCGCCTGGGGTGAACGTAGTCGATGGTCGGTGGCTCTTCAAGGTGAAGCGCCCCCCTGGAGAGCCGCCTGTCTTCAAGGCGCGCTACGTGGCCAGAGGTTTCAGTCAGCGCGAGGGGGTTGACTTCTTCCAGACCTTCGCCCCGACCCCGAAGATGACCACTCTTCGGGCGCTGCTACACGTAGCAGCACAGCGTGACTACGAGCTTCACTCCCTCGACTTCTCTACTGCCTTTCTTCAGGGCAGCCTTCAGGAGCAGGTCTACCTGCGCCGACCACAGGGCTTCACTGGTACCTTCCCTCCTAGGACCCAGTGGCTTCTCAGGCGCCCGGTCTACGGCCTGCGTCAGGCTCCCCGCGAGTGGCACGACACGCTACGTGCCACGTTAGCAGACCTGCAGTTCTTTCCGTCCTCTGCTGACCCTTCACTGTTTGTGCGTTCCGGCCAGACTCCGTTCTACATCCTTGTCTACGTAGACGACCTGGTCTTCGCTACTCCTGACAGGGACGCACTGGCCTCTGTGAAGGCTGAGCTGCTGAAGAGACACACCTGCACTGACCTTGGAGAGCTGCGTCGCTATCTTGGCCTGCAGATCTCCAGGGACAGAGCAGCACGCACCATCACTCTGACCCAGTCACACTTGGTGCGTCAGGTCCTTCAGAGGTTCGGTCTTCAGTTCTCCTCCGCACAGCCCACACCTCTACCCGTAGACCATGGGCTCTCTGCTCCCGTTCCTGAGGAGCCAGTAGAGCCCAGTGGCCCCTACGCAGAGCTGGTGGGTTGCCTCATGTACCTGATGACTTGCACGCGCCCAGATCTCGCATACCCTCTCAGCATCCTGGCTCGCTTTGTGGCTACAGGCAGACACCGACCTCAGCACTGGTCTGCCGCTAAGAGGGTTTTGCGTTATCTTGCTAGTACATCAGGCATGGGGTTAGTGCTAGGAGGACGCATGCCAGTGGTCCTTACTGGGCACACAGACGCTTCTTGGGCAGACGACGCTGAGACGCTCAGGTCGTCGCAGGGCTACTGTTTTAGCCTTGGTTCGGGTGCTATCTCTTGGAGATCCACTCGCTCGTCATCTGTGGCTCAGTCTAGCTGTGAGGCTGAGATCTACGCTGGTGCCATGGCGGCACAGGAGCTCCGCTGGCTGACCTTCTTGCTCACTGACTTAGGTGAGCGGCCTAGCTCTGCCCCGGTCCTGTACGCTGACAACAGGGCCATGATACTCCTGTGTCAGGAGCCTCGGCTTGAGGGCAGAGCGAAGCATATCCAGCTGCGGTACTTCCTCCTGCGCGAGCTACAGCAGCGCCGCCAGGCCCGCGTAGTTCACTTGGCCTCAGGTGCCAACACAGCTGATATCTTTACTAAGGCGCTTGCGCCTAAAGATCATCAGCGGCACTGTGTACAGCTTGGTCTTGTTCCTGTAGCTGCTCCCCTGTTAGGATCCTGATTGTGTACTCTCTATTATATATGCTTGTCAGACTGGCCTTGTGGCCTTACCTCCAGTGGCTGGACTAGTAGTGCCACCCTGGCTTGCTTCAATTTTGGTTGTATTCTTGCTGACTGGTCTCCAGACCCCTGCCTCAGTGGTTGGACTAGTAGTGCCGCCCTGAGCTGTTTGCTTCTTGTTTAGTTTCACCCCTTGTCTAGCCTAGGGGGTGTGTCAACTTATACATATTATCTATGTAGAAGTTATAGGCTAGACTGAGGTATGCTTCTAGTGAGTACAACCAACTAGTATTTGTTCTAGGTTTCCACCTCTAGTCATTATTCGTTCTCACTGTGACATCCTGCACCATCTTTCAAATTCTTTCATGTTTGACATGTTCGCCCACGACCCCCCTGGCAGAGAGGCCTGTAGCCCTTCCTCGAGGATCTCAAGGACAAGAACTAGCAAGGGGCGTGCCGCGTGACTGCAAAGCACCGCAGCGTCTGATAAGAAGCGCGTTTGGTATGAGGTGTAGGAAGTTTTTGACACGAGACAATCAGATTATGCTTCCATCCATTGAATTGCCATCTGTAGCGTCCTGCACTGCTCAATTGAATTTGCAATTGATGCTTTCAAACGGTAAATATCTTGAAGAGCCTTCTCCTCGACGCACCACTTCCACGCAGGCGCAACTCTTGGCCTTATGGCATCCGCAATTGGCTGGCAGCGGGAAATACACAGGGAGGAGAAAACGTGCAGAGAACAGAGGAGCAAGGGTGGATGGGTGGGTGGCTGAGGAGGAGGGGGTGGTGGGGGGTGTTGAACAGCAGATGGAGAGGGAGAGGGGAGATAAGGCAAGAGAGGGAATGGGGACGAGGGGGCGTGGGGGTGGGGAGGGAGGAGCAGGGGAAAGACGAGGGGGGGAGGGTGGGAGCAGCTTGCACATGCAGCCCCCCCTAGCAAGGCATCTGCGGACTCTGCACCCACCTGCATGGATGCATCAGGGACGAGATTGTCCCTGGCTCGCTGCGGCCACGTCTTGAAATCCACAGCCCTCAAGCCCCAGTAGTGGTTCATGCGCACCAGTGAGGGGTCTGCAACCACTGTCACCCTCCCTTGCCCGCCTCTCCCCACGCTCCCCGCTCGCCGCTCCCCATTGCTGCCTCCCTGTCCCTCCTCACCACCCTCTCCAACCCCCTCTCCAGCCTCACTTCCCTGTTCCCGATCTTCCCCCACCCCTCCTTCCCCCCCCACCTCCCCCCCCACGGCCTCCCCTTTCATCCAGAACTTGTGGGGGTTGCCGGCAAAGCTCTCCCGCACGGACGCCACGCGCACGATGGGCTTGGTGCGCGCCACACGCCCCTCCGTGTGCGCGCTGCGCTGCGCGTACGCGTCCACGAGCAGACACGGGGGTGCGCACGAGGGAGCGCCCTGGAAGAACAGGTTCTGCACAAGAACCTGGTCGGGGGGGGGGGTGCGGGCGGAGAGGAGGGACAGTGAGAGTAAGTGAAGGAGGGTGAGGTAGAGCGGAGAGAGGGGATGAAGTGGAAAAAATCAAGGTGAGAAAGTAGGAACCCATCCCATTTCTTTCCCCTCTCCCCCCACATCTCTTCCCCACAACTTTCCTCCCCTCCCACCCCTCACTCCTCCCCCCCTGCCCCCCCCCCCTACCTGCGCTGTGGTGTTGCTGGCGCTCTCCACGTGGCGTGTGAGGAAGCGCAGTAGGAAGCCGGGCAGCGTGTCAGGTGGGCTGAACATGTACTCGTCGATGTCGCAGAACAGCGCCCACCGCACACGAGAGGAGTACGTCTGGCGGGAGGGAGTGGAGGACAGGGGTGTGCAGGGGGAGAAGAGGGGGGATGGGCAGAGGAGGAGGAGAGCACGGGAGCAGATGGAGTGGTGTGTGCTGGACAATCAAGTGGTTTGAATCATGGATGGCCTGAGGAGAAAGGGGGGGGAGTCGGTGGTATGCTGCGAGACAGGAGAGGCGTGCAGCTTGGTGGGTAGGGGTGAGTCTGGGAAGGGCGTCAAGGGTTGAGTGGTGGGCATACCTGTGTAGAGATGGCAGCCCTTCACACCTGCCCATAATCGCCAGAGCGGTGTTGCGGCAGAGAGCCTATTCACACCAGGCAGCAGCAGTACAAATCAGGACCTTTGAGGCCTTCACCTGCAGCGCGTGCTCCTCCAGCAGCCTGTGAGAGGCACCCTGGAGCGCACCTTGAAGAAGTGCGAGACGGAGGAGTCCTGCTCGTAGTGGATGTCGTGCCACTCAGGAAAGAGGCGGTAGAAGCTGTGGTACGTCAGCATGCCCGCCTGTACGTACGGCGCCAGAGCTGCCTCCTGGGGGGCACGAGAGGGGAGAAGGGGGGGGGGGGGAGGAGAGGGTGAGGGACTGATGAGCAAGTGGAATCTGACTTGGCACAAATGCCTCCGGTGCGCCAGAGAGTGGTGATCAGATGACCAGCGAGTGATGAGAGGACCTGCGAGTGATGAGACGACCTGCGAGTGATGAGATGACCTGCGAGTGATGAGATGACCTGCGAGTGATGAGACGACCTGCGAGTGATGAGATGACCTGCGAGTGATGAGATGACCTGCGAGTGATGAGATGACCTGCGAGTGATGAGATGACCTGCGAGTGATGAGATGACCTGCGAGTGATGACATAAGCTGCGAGTGATGACATGACCTGCGAGTGATGAGATGACCTGCGAGTGATGAGACGACCTGCGAGTGATGAGATGACCTGCGAGTGATGAGATGACCTGCGAGTGATGAGATGACCTGCGAGTGATGAGATGACCCGTGAGAGATGAGACGACCTGCGAGTGATGAGACGACCTGCGAGTGATGAGACGACCTGCGAATGATCAGATGACCTGCGAGAGATGAGACGACCTGCGAGAGATGAGACGACCTGCGAGTGACGAGACGACCTGCGAGTGATGAGACGACCTGCGAGTGATGAGACGACCTGCGAGTGATGAGACGACCTGCGAGTGATGAGACTACCTGCGAGTGATGAGACTACCTGCGAGTGATGAGATGACCTGCGAATGATGAGATGACCTGCGAGTGATGAGATGACCTGCGAGTGATGAGACGACCTGCGAGTGGTGAGACGACCTGCGAGTGATGAGACGACCTGCGAGTGATGAGACGACCTGCGAGTGATGAGACGACCTGCGAGTGATGAGACGACCTGCGAGTGATGAGACGACTTGCGAGTGATGAGATGACCTGCGAGTGATGAGATGACCTGCGAGTGATGAGACGACCTGCGAGTGATGAGACGACCTGCGAGTGATGAGACGACCTGCGAGTGATGAGACGACCTGCGAGTGATCAGACGACCTGCGAGTGATGAGATGACCTGCGAGTGATGAGATGACCTGCGAGTGATGAGACGACCTGCGATTGATGAGTCGACCTGCGAGTGATGAGACGACCTGCGAGTGATGAGACTACCTGCGAGTGATGAGACGACCTGCGAGTGATGAGATGACCTGCGAGTGATGAGATGACCTGCGAGTGATGAGACGACCTGCGATTGATGAGTCGACCTGCGAGTGATGAGACGACCTGCGAGTGATGAGACTACCTGCGAGTGATGAGACGACCTGCGAGTGATGAGATGACCTGCGAGTGATGAGATGACCTGCGAGTGATGAGACGACCTGCGATTGATGAGACGACCTGCGAGTGATGAGACGACCTGCGAGTGATGCGACTACCTGCGAGTGATGAGACGACCTGCGAGTGATGAGATGACCTGCGAGTGATGAGACGACCTGCGAGTGATGAGACGACCTGCGAATGATGAGACGACCTGCGAGTGATGAGACTACCTGCGAGTGATGAGACGACCTGCGAGTGATGAGATGACCTGCGAATGATGAGATGACCTGCGAGTGATGAGATGACCTGCGAGTGATGAGACGACCTGCGAGTGGTGAGACGACCTGCGAGTGATGAGATGACCTGCGAGTGATGAGACGACCTGCGAGTGATGAGACGACCTGCGAGTGATGAGACGACCTGCGAGTGATGAGACGACTTGCGAGTGATGAGATGACCTGCGAGTGATGAGATGACCTGCGAGTGATGAGATGACCTGCGAATGATGAGACGACCTGCGAGTGATGAGACGACCTGCGAGTGATCAGACGACCTGCGAGTGATGATATGACCTGCGAGTGATGAGATGACCTGCGAGTGATGAGACGACCTGGGATTGATGAGTCGACCTGCGAGTGATGAGACGACCTGCGAGTGATGAGACTACCTGCGAGTGATGAGACGACCTGCGAGTGATGAGATGACCTGCGAGTGATGAGATGACCTGCGAGTGATGAGACGACCGGCGATTGATGAGACGACCTGCGAGTGATGAGACGACCTGCGAGTGATGCGACTACCTGCGAGTGATGAGACGACCTGCGAGTGATGAGATGACCTGCGAATGATGAGATGACATGCGAGTGATGAGATGACCTGCGAGTGATGAGACGACCTGCGAGTGGTGAGACGACCTGCGAGTGATGAGATGACCTGCGAATGATGAGACGACCTGCGAGTGATGAGACGACCTGCGAGTGATGAGATGACCTGCGAGTGATGAGACGACCTGCGAGTGATGAGACGACCTGCGAGTGATGAGATGACCTGCGAATGATGAGACGACCTGCGAGTGATGAGATGACCTGCGAATGATGAGACGACCTGCGAGTGATGAGACGACCTGCGAGTGATAAGATGACGTGCGAGTGATGAGACGACGTGCGAGTGATGAGACGACCTGCGAGAGATGAGATGACCTGCGAATGATGAGATGACCTCAAGTGATGAGACGACCTGCGAGTGATGAGACGACCTGCGAGTGATGAGACGACCTGCGAGTGATGAGACGACCTGCGAGTGATGAGACGACCTGCGAGTGATGAGACGACCTGCGAGTGATGAGATGACCTGCGAGTGATGAGGTGACCTGCGAGTGATGAGACGACCTGCGAGTGATGAGACGACCTGCGAGTGATGAGACGACCTGCGAGTGATGAGATAACCTGCGAGTGATGAGACAACCTGCGAGTGATGAGACGACCTGCGAGTGATGAGATGACCTGCGAGTGATGAGACGACCTGCGAGTGATGAGATGACCTGCGAGTGATGAGAGGACCTGCGAGTGATGAGACGTCCTGCGAGTGATGAGACGACCTGCGAGTGATGAAACGACCTGCGAGTGATGAGACGACCTGCGAGTGATGAGACGACCTGCGAGTAATAAGATGACCTGCGAGTGATGAGACGACCTGCGAGTGATGAGATGACCTGCGAGTGATGAGATGACCTGCGAGTGACGAGACGACCTGCGAGTGATGAGACAACCTGCGAATGATGAGACGACCTGCGAGTGATGAGATGACCTGCGAGGGATGAGATGACCTGCGAATGATGAGATGACCTGCGAGTGATGAGAGCACCTGGGAGTGATGAGAGGACCTGCGAGTGATGAGACGACCTGGGAGTGATGAGAGGACCTGCGAGTGATGAGATGACCTGCGAGTGATGAGATGACCTGCGAGTGATCAGACGACCTGCGATTGATGAGACGACCTGCGAGTGATGAGACGACCTGCGAGTGATGAGACGACCTGCGAGTGATGAGATGACCTGCGAATGATGAGATGACCTGCGAGTGATGAGATGACCTGCGAGCGATGAGACGACCTGCGAGTGATGAGACGACCTGCGAGTGATGAGATGACCTACGAATGATGAGACGACCTGCGAGTGATGAGACGACCTGCGAGTGATGAGATGACCTGCGAGTGACGAGACGACCTGCAAGTGACGAGACGACCTGCGAGTGATGAGACAACCTGCGAATGATGAGACGACCTGCGAGTGATGAGATGACCTGCGAGTGATGAGATGACCTGCGAATGATGAGATGACCTGCGAGTGATGAGAGGACCTGGGAGTGATGAGAGGACCTGCGAGTGATGAGATGACCTGCGAGTGATCAGATGACCTACGAGTGATGAGACGACCTGCAAGTGATGAGACGACCTGGGAGTGATGAGAGGACCTGCGAGTGATGAGATGACCTGCGAGTGATCAGATGACCTGCGAGTGATGAGACGACCTGCGAGTGATGAGATGACCTGCGAGTGATGAGACGACCTGCGAGTGATGAGACGACCTGCGAGTGATGAGATGACCTGCGAATGATGAGATGACTTGCGAGTGATGAGATGACCTGCGAGTGATGAGACGACCTGCGAGTGATGAGACGACCTGCGAGTGATGAGATGACCTGCGAATGATGAGACGACCTGCGAGTGATGAGATGACCTGCGAGTGATGAGACGACCTGCGAGTGATGAGACGACCTGCGAGTGATGAGACGACCTGCGAGTGATGAGAGGACCTGCGAGTGATGAGACGACCTGCGAGTGATGAGATGGCCTGGGAGTGATGAGTCGACCTGCGAGTGATGAGACGACCTGCGAGTGATGAGATGACCTGCGAGTGATGAGACGACCTACCAGTGATGAGACGACCTGCGAATGATGAGACGACCTGCGAGCGATGAGATGACCTGCGAGTGCTGAGACGACCTGCGAGCGATGAGAGGACCCGCGAGTGACGAGACGACGTGCGAGTGATGAGAGGACCTGCGAGTGATGAGATGACCTGCGAGTGATGAGATGACCTGCGAGTGATGAGATGACCTGCGAGTGATGAGATGACCTGCGAGTGATGAGATGACCTGCGAGTGATGAGACGACCTGCGAGTGTGCCAAGGGAGAACTGGGTTGCACGCACCTGGCTCTCTGCCATGGAGTGCGCTGTGTCGTACCAAAACACATGCTGGACGCCCGCATACCGCCCGTACTCCAACCACTGCGCGCCATTGGGGTGGGGGGGCCGGGACGGGGACAAGGATAAGTGGACGAGGGAAGCGGAGACGGAAGATGAGGAGGGTAGAGGAGGTGATGCAGCGAGGAGACAGTGGGGAGGGATGTGGGAGTGCGGATCACATGTTGGGATGCAGCGCATGCAGAGGGGAGGGGAGTAAGAGCAATGCATGGGCGATGGCAGAGCAAGAGCAACGTGGCGCACAGCCCACCTGCCAGATCTCATACGAGGTGAAGTTGAGGCGGTCCTCCCGATACACCCTCGCATACCCCACCGCTGCTAGGAAGATCTCACTGCTGCCGCCTCCCTTTGCTGCTGCTGCTGCTGCTGGCACAGATGCAGCAACGGCGGTGCTGGTACTAGAGCTACTGGTAGTGCTGCCAGTGAAAGTGTTGCTGTCACTACTGGCTGCTACCTGCTGGGTGCTGCTGTATGGCTTCAGCACGGAGCCAAAGATGGCAGAGAGATTTGTCCTGACACATGCACAAGGGGAAGTATGGGAGATGTGTCAACACATGGAGAGTGAGAATCATGTGTGGCCGTGGGGGTGATCCGAGAGAGCATGTAAGCAATGTAGACGCGCAACGAGCTGCAGCTGCGGCTTTGAATGGATGCTCTCACACCCCGGGCTCTATCCGGCCATTGAGCTCGGTTTTAAACAGCCGGCAACCATTGCATGGCGGGCCATGAGCTGTCTGTCCACTAGGCGCGCCACCCGCGCTGGATCCCCAACCTAGTCGCCACTAGTAGACTGTATCATGGTAGCATCGGTGTGCGGCCCTGCAGGCGCCGCTGCGGGGAGGGGTGTACCACGGGGGCAGTGCCGCGCATGCTGTAGCCATGGACTGCGCCTAGGGGCTCATGCCAGGCCACACACACAACGACAGCCACACCACCAACCAGCCGCGCTGGAGGTGCAGTACAAGGGAAGAGGCTCGGGGCTGCAGCTGCACCTGCCCAAGGAGATAGCAGGGGACGACACTGGCTCCGCTACCCGCCGCAGAAGCACCAGGACAGTGACAGTGATGCCAGCACACACTCCCCCTGCTGCCAGGTCCTTTGCTGCATGCACTGCCAGCGAAACCAGCCCACAGTGCCACTGCACTGCACCTGCCAGCTGGCCGCTCCTATTTTCCCTCCAACGCCCTCACGCTCTGCCCCCCCTCAACTGCTCCTCCTCACTGCAAGGAGATGGCCAGCCCACTCACGCTCTTCGGCCGCGGCATGCGGTCTCAATGAGTGTGTATGCCCAAGGCGCGCAGACGCGTGCAGGAAGAGAAGATGGTTCGCGCCAGGCTGAGATCCGTGCACGGTGAGGCGAGCTCGCCAGGCAGTCCAGGTATGGACGTCCACCCAAGCAAGGAGGTGGTGCCGGCCCTTGGTGCCAAGCATGCAGCCTTTGAATGCTGCCTGTCGGAGATGCCTAAAATCACTCGACTCGCTCAGTTTGCTCTCACACAAAGGTCCAGCAGCCATCACCGAGCTCCTAGCCTGGTGTCCCAGCAGCATGGGCACGGCGCCTTCCAGCACAACAGTCAAGCAGCTTCCAGGCTCACTGGATGTTGCGCTACGAGACATCTGCAAGCGAGTGCACACGGTGGCCAAGACTCGTGGGAAGATCCCCGTGTGTGAGCAGATGCACCTCCTCCCACACGTGGGCCCACGCCGCACATCGCCACCCAGTAGTCAGTGGCCCTGGGAACCTTCAATTTCCCCCTTCGCACGACCCCTCCTCACCCCCTCCCTGCTGAGGCATGGACGGCTCGTGCTCGGGCTTTAATGAGATGAAAAAGACCGAGGTCCGGGTTCAAGGATGAGGAAGTGAGGAGCAGGACGAGATGCAGTGGCGGATGAGAGGGGCCATACAGCATGGCGCCGTGCACGCGTGGTGCCGCCCGTGCGCACTGCAGTACCGGTCCCGCCCGCTGCCTTGCTTCCCCACCGGCCCACTGATGAAGCGCCATGAGCCGCACTAGCACTAGGAGGGGCTGCACGCAGAAAGCCAGCGTGGGGTGTTTGAAAGGGCTCCTCGTGCTGGTGGTGGCTGCCCTAACGCAATGGCCACATGACGCCCTGGCAGCAACCCTGGTGGGCCGCCATCACCACTCACCATGGTCACCACCCCTAATATCACCGCCCCAACCCGCCCTTCCCATCGCATCACTCGCCTCTTCCCTTCCACGCCTCTTCCTTTCCGCGCCTCTTTGTTAGAATATCCTACTATATTCACTAGTCTACATGGATTTGTTAGTCTTTAGTAGAGCTAAGCACTCCAGTACTAATAGGGTGTAAGAGCACTAATTGGAGGTTGGGTTCCCAACTTGGTTAGGTTTCCAATTTGTTTGGGTCCACAACTATTTGGGACCCCCAATAATTCCCACCAGAATTATTGAACCACCAATACTCCCAACCAGAATTATTGGTGGGGACCAATAATCTTGGCCAACTCCCAACCAACCCTCCCTTCCTCCCTTTCCTCACATTCCTACGTAAACCCTTGTGCTTTTCCTCTAATCAACATTTCTAAGTTCACCTTTTCTAACTTGGTTTCAGAGCTTATGGCTCACGCCTCTCCCCTACTCGATCCTTAGCCTATGAACTCTCTCCGCGCCCTTAAGCACCCTACAGCAGCGCCCTAACGCGCCATCCCTCCGCGCTCTAAGCACCCTCCCTCCACGCCCTAAAGCGCCCTCCCTCCGTGCCCTTAAGCGCCCTCCCTCCACGCCCTTAAGCGCCCTCCTTTCGTCACATTTCGTCGCGGCACTCTGCCGCATTTCGTCGCGGCATTTCGCCGCATTTTGTCACGGCATTTCGCTGCATTTCGTCGCGGCATTCCGCTGCATTTCGTCGCCGCATTTCATCGCAGCATTTCGCCGCATTTTGTCGCGGCATTCCGCTGCATTTCGTCGTGGCATTCCACCGCATTTCGTCGCGGCATTTCGCCGCATTTCGTTGCCGCATTTCGCCGCATTTCGTTGCCGCATTTCGCCTCCTCCCCCTCCCACAGTCTCGTCGCCCTCGCCTAACACGTTGGGGCTCAGCCGGGCTGTTCTCCGTGCGTCCGCATGGCGCCCTTCTGCGCTTCCCGCGGCGCCCTCGACGCGCCGTCCTCGGCGCCCTCGTCGCGTTGTCCGCGGCTGCCTCGTCGCGCCGTCCGTGGCGACCTCGTCGCGGCGTCCGCGGGGTCCGCGACGTCCTCGTCGCGGCGTCAGCGGCGTCCTCGCGGCGCCTCCCTTGCGCGATAGCGGCGTCCGCGACGCCCACGCGTCGCCATCCGCGTCGCCCTCGCGACTTCCTCCTTCCTCCCGTCCTCCCCCACTCCCCTTCCCTCCATGGCTCTTCAGACCGCCTCCCACCCGTCCTCCCCCTCTCCCCTCCCCTCAACGGCTCCCAGCCCGCCTTCCGCCCATCCTCTCCCTCTCCCCTCCCCTCAACAACTCCTAGCCCCCCTCCCGCCCGTCCTCCCAATCTCCCCTCCCCTCCGTGGCTCTTCAGACCGCCTCCCGCCCGTCCTCCCCCTCTCCCCTCCCCTCAACGGCTCCCAGCCCGCCTTCCGCCCGTCCTCTCCCTCTCGCCTCCCCTCAACAACTCCTAGCCGCCTCCCGCCCGTCCTCCCCCTCTCCCCTCCCCTCAGTGGCACTTGAGGCCGCTTTCCGCCCGTCCTCCCCCTCCCTTCTCCCCTCAACGGCTCCCAGCCCGCCTTCCGCCCGTCCTCTCCCTCTCCCCTCCCCTCAACAACTCCTAGCCCGCCTCCCACCCGTCCTCCCCCTCTCCCCTCCCCTCAGTGGCACTTGAGGCCGCTTTCCGCCCGTCCTCCCCCTCCCTTCTCCCCTCAGCGACTCCCAGCACGCCTTCCGCCCATCCTCTCCCTCTCCCCTCCCCTCAGCAGCTCTTGAACAGGCCTTCCACCCGTCCTCCCCCTCTCCCCTCCCTTTCCCTCAGCTGCTCCTTAACCCGCTTTCTGCTCGCCCTCCTCCTCTCCCCTCCCCTCAGCTACTCCTTAACCCGCCCTCTGCCCGACCTCCCCTCCCTCCCCTCCCCTCAGCGGCTCCTTAACCCCCCCTCTCCACTCCTCCCGCCCCCCTCTCACCCCCCTTCCTCTTCCTTGGGGACCTCTTGCCTGCCACCCCTCTCACGTCCTTTCCTCTTCCTCCGGGCCCTCTAGCCACCCCTCACACCTCCCTTCCCCCTACAGCAGCTCCTCCTCCGGCGGCAGCAGCACGCGCCGCCCGTAGCAGCTGCACCTCTTCCTCTGGCGGCAGCCGGTACGCTCCGCCCGCAGAAGCAGCAGCACCTCCTCCTCCGGCGACAGCCGCACGCGCCGCCCGCAGCAGCAGCAGCACCTCCTCCGGCGGCAGCCGCACGTGCCGCCCGCAGCAGCAGAACCAGCACCTCCTCCTCCGGCGGCAGCAGCACTCGCCGCCCGTAGCAGCAGCAGCAGCACCTCCTCCTCCGGCGGCAGCCGCACGCGCTGTCCGCAGCAGCAGCAGCACGTCCTACGGCGGCAGCCGCACGTGCCGCCCGCAGCAACAGCACCAGCACCTCCTCCGGCGGCAGCTTCATGCGCCGCCCGCGCCCTCCTCCGGCGGCAGCAGCACGCGCCGCCCGCAGCAGAGGCAGCATCTCCTCCTCCAGCGGCAGTAGCACACGCCGCCCACAACAGCAGCAGCACCTCTCCTCCTCCGGCAGCAGCCGCACGCGCCGCACGTAGCAGCAGGAGCAGCACCTCCTCCGACGGCAGCCGCACACACCGCCTACAGCAGCAGGAGCAACTCCTCCGGCAGCAGCCGCACGCGCCGTCCGCAGCAGCAGCACCACCTCCTCCGGCGGCAGCAGCACGAGCCGCGCAGCAGCAACACCTCCTCCTCCGGCGGCAGCCGTACGCTCCGCCCGCAGCAACAGCAGCAGGTCCTTTTCCGGCGGCAGCACCACGCACCGCTCGCAGCAGCGTCAGCATCTCCCCCAGCGGCAGCAGCATGCGCCGCCCGCAACAGCGGCAGCACCTCTCCTCCTCCAGCGGCAGCAGCACGCGCCGCCCGTAGCAGCAGCAGCAGCACCTCCTCCTCCGGCGGCAGCCGCACGCGGCGCCCCTAGCAGCACCACCACCACCTTCTCCTCCGGCGGCAGCAGCACGAGCCGCCCGCAGCAGCAGCACCTCCTCCTCCGGCGGCAGCCGTATGCTCCGCCCGCAGCAACAGCAGCATGTCCTCCTCCGGCGGCAGCACCACGCGCCACCCGCAGCAGTGATAGCATGTCCTCTGGCGGCAGCAGCATGCGCCGCCCGCAACAGCAGCAGCACCTCTCCTCCTCCGCCGGCAGCAGCATGCGCCGCCCGTAGCAGCAGCAGCAGCACCTCCTCCTCCTCCGGCGGCAACCGCACGCGCCGCCCGCAGCAGAAGCAGCACCTCCTCGGGCTGCAGCCGCACGTGCCGCCCGCAGCACCAGCACCAGCACCTCCTCCTCCGGCGGCAGCAGCACGCCCCACCCGCAGCAGCGGCAGCATCTCCTCCTCCGACGGCGGCAGCACGCTCCGCCCGCAACAGCAGCACCTCCTCCTCCGGCGGCAGCCGCACGTGCCACCTGCAGCAGCAGCAGCAGCACCTCCTGCTCCGGCGGCAGCAGCACGCGCCGCCCGCGTCCTCCTCCGGCGGCAGCTTCATGCGCCGCCCGCGTCCTCCTCCGGCGGCAGCTTCATGCGCCGCCCGTGTCCTCTTCCGGCGGCAGCTTCATGCGCCGCCCGCGTCCTCTTCCGGCGGCAGCTTCATGCGCCGCCTGTGTCCTCCTCTGGCGGTTGCTTCATGCGCCGCCCGCGTCCTCCTCTGGTGGCAGCCTCATGCGCCGCCCGCGTCCTCCTCCAGCGCCGGCTTCATACGCCGCCCGCGTCCTCCTCCGACGACAGCACCACGCGCCGCCCTCAGCAGCACCTACCTCGGGCAAACTCACCACCCGCCCGCCTCCTCCCTCGCACTGTCCTGATTCAGGGGTTGCTTCCATTCACTGCCTCAAGACTACTCTCTCTATGCAAACAAGGGTTGTGTTAGAATATCCTACTATATTCACTAGTCTACATAGATTTGTTAGTCTTGAGTAGAGTT